AGTGTTTTTTAAAGTGCATTCCGTGGAATTCAAGGCGTGTGACACTGTTCCTCCCTACTCACCCCAGCCCTCTCCTTTCCCCCCAGCCCCAAGTGTTTCAAGTGTCCACAGGTTTGGGAGGCCCTGCCCGCTAACTTGCCCTTTGAGATTCACAGGGCACGTTGGCATGTTCTATAGCTCCCAGAATTCTGGAAACTTCCTTAACATTGCCTTTTTTAAGGTTTCCAAACTGAATCGACCACTAATACCCTTTCTCATATAGTAGCTACTAATAACCCAGGGCACCAGATTCTGTGGAATAGACTGGGGAAATTTTTATCCGGGAGATCTCAGGCATGTTCACTGAGCATGCGACAGGCTACTGGCAGCTAATTCTGTCTCAGGCCTTGTGCCAGGTGCTGGGGCCAGGCCACAGAAATATCAGAGCTGGCCCTGCGTGAAGGATACAGACAGGGAGCCCCAGGCCATCTCGAGGCAGGGAAGGCTCCCTGAGGAGGGGACTCCACTTGAGATGAGTCTCCAAGAACAGGGAGTGTCACACCAGACAAAGGCCCAAGGCCTGCGGGAGCCACACTCGGCCCATAGTGGGCAGTTCATCCAAATCGTTCCAGAGTGGACTGAGCGCAATACTTAATGTGGTAAATCTCTAAACCTCACTGTCTAGTTAAGGGGGAAAACGGTGGATTTTGGTTCTCAGTGAAAGCACCTTTAATGAGGAAGCTACAGACATGGCCAGGCTGGTTTCCTTTGTAAGAGCGGATGCGGTGCTTTGGAGGCTCCATCTCGGACCCTGTACCAAACCTACTGACCTGGTTCTGACTTCCTGGGAGCACATGGAGCTGATGTTGCCGAGGGCCAATGTGGATAAGACGGACAGCCTGGCGCAGACACGTCTGCCTGCCTTGCAGAAAGTAAGCAGATGGGGGCCGAGGCTTATGCTTTCTGAATCGTCATCAATAAGCCACTTAGAGATTGTATGGGTTCACGCTGCAGAAAACCAATTCCTCAGAGTGTGGGTGCAGTGTGCACTATTTCCAGTGCCTACTACGCACCTCGAACTGTGCTGGATGTTTTTGTACAGGTTACCTCACTTAACCCTCCTATTCATCCTGTGGGGGAGGGGAGGTTTCATGTTCCTTTTACTCATGAAAAAACTGTGGTTTGGAGGGACGCACACTGAGGAATGTTTGAGGACACATCCAAGTGCCCATCACACTATTTCTCGGTGCCTCCTCAGGACATGAGGGAGGGAATGTCACAGATAAGCCCCTATCCCACGCTTCCCTCGAGACGTAAACCAGGTGTACAGTGCTCCTGCCTCTGACCAACTGCCCTGTGTCCTGGAAAGCCAGGACCTAGACTCCACTCCTCACCCACCCCTGACCTTCTCATCACCAAGGCAAATTTTTCCTTTCCCTCCTATACTTCTTGCACAGGAGCTTAAACTTTCACCTTGACCTGGGAGGTGTTTCCTTCCACAAAACTCCCCCCTCACCCTCAAAAAACCATCATCCCCACCTCTGGTTTATTGGCTACTTTATTGGCATTTAGTGGAGAATGCAGAAAATATCGGGGTCCCTCCCTCAGCTCGTTTTTCATTTGTCCCGTCCTAGAGGTACGTAGTGTATCTTTATATTTAGCATGCTACTAAGGATAATTATACCTCCGAATCAAAGATCATTCAAATTAAATGGCAAATGATTAAGTGCAGCGGAGTCTGCTTTTCTAGGAAGATGGGGCTCGAAAGAGACCTAAATGTAGAACCGGATTTCCATCAGCTGGAGAGATGTAGGCCCAGCCCTCACAGGGGTGGAGGGGTGGAGGGTGGGAAGCCGGACTCTCCTGTGGGGCCACCCCTGGGAGTGGGAGCAGCCCAGAGGTGAATGCTATTCTTGGTGCTGAAACACTTTTTCCAGAGTGATGAAAGAAGGCTCAGAAAACCATGGCTCAGCACCTGGGATAAGCTGGGTTCTTACTTCTCTTCTGAAGTCACAGGCTCCCTCTGGAAGAAGAAATGCACCCAGTTCCTCCTGTTCTCATTGCATTATTCCAGCACTCACAGCACGGCTACATGGCAGAGAGAAGGAGTCTGGGGCCCCATGGGACCTCTCCCATCCTGAATTGCCTCCAGGCTTCCACTATGGAGCCACAAGCCCCGGGAAGCATATCCCAGGTGAGGAGGCTCAGACTCTGGGGTGTGGTGTACTGGTTTGATGCCTTCTGATTTGTTTTTATATAGAGAATATCTGGTTGAAAATCTTACATGGATTCCCCAGATGTACAATAGATCAAAATGCCCTGCTTTCATTGGCGTAGGGGAAGTGTGTGAAGCTCCAGCCACATAGTCCCACTCCCAGGAAGACCCTTAAGACTCTGTATGGATACCTATGGGTCCATGATACAAGCTTTGAAAACCACTAATGTTAGTCTAATCTTTTCCTGGCCCTTGACTAATTATTTAATTCCTTTTTATCATTTGAAACTAAGCTCAGGTCACCTCCTACAGGAAGCTTTCCATGATTCCTAAGCTGAGTTAGGGGGTGGTACTCCCCTGGCTCCATGCTTTCCTTTATCACTACTCTGATCACTCTGTTGGAACCAGAGATCATTGAGGACCAGGACCATGTACCTGGAACATGGAGTCTATACAATGAATACTAATAGGCTGAAGACAAAACAGGAATTCATGTATAGCATTTCCAAGAAATAATTTCACAGACCCTGCATCAACACCTCCAGAGACGGGGAACTCACTCTAAACTGAGCTGTCCCTTTCTATATTAAACACTATGATAGTGAAAGCCTTCTTCTTGACGTCGAGCCAGAACATCGTCCTGTAGCTTCTACTTTCTAGGGCTCTCTAGAGCAAGCCTTACCCTCTTCCACAACTGGACCTCCAAATATTGGGGGAGAGATATCACAACCCTCTCTTCTGGGCTAAACTCCACCTATATAAACATACACATATGTACACACACACATACATGTTTGAAAATAAATGCAGATTTGTTTTTCTTAAAGCCAGTTTTCAATAAATTGAAATTGAATGCTTTAAAGCAGGATTTTCTTCTTTTTTTTTTAAAAAGTCAGCATTATTGAGGTATAGTTTAAGACAGTAAAATCTCCCTGTGTTACGTGTACACAGCTCAATGAATTTATGACAAATGTATACAGTCACAACCACCAGTACAATCAATACATAGCGGGTGTCCCCAAAAATGTATACACACACTTTGAATAATTATAAAGGCAGTGTTTATTAAAATACATTTCATTTTCAAAATTGAGTTATCAGCTATTAAAGCATGTATACATTTTTGGGGGACAACCTGTAGAACAGCTTCACCCCAAAAAAGGACCTGTGTGCCTCTTGCATCCAATCTCCTCTTCTCACCCCAGCCTCTAGAAACCACTGATCTTATATATCTGTCCCTATAATTTTGCCTTTTTCAAGATGCCATGTAAATGAAATCCTACAATATAGAGCCTTTACGCCCGACTTCTTTCACTTAGCACAATGCTTTTCAGATTCACCTTTGTTGTTGCATGTATCAATAGTTTGTTGCTTTTTATTGCTACCTCTTCTATTTTATGGAAGAATTTGTCTAGTTGATATTACTTTTTCCTAAAATGTTTGGCAGAATTCTCCAGTGAAGCCATTCGGGTCAGAAAAATATATTTTAAACAACAGGAATTTGTTGTTATTTTGGATACTTTGACACTGGGTGGAGGGGTCGCTTGGCCCTTTCTTCCCTCACCAGGGAGGGGCTGGGATGCCCACATAATCCGCAGCTGCTGCTGGGTGGGCTGTGGATCAGACTGTGGAGGGCGGGGGCAGGAGAAGAGAGAAGGATGAAGACTCAGCAGTGACTCTGGGAGGAAACGGGTGGGAGGAGTGAAATGTCAAAGAAACAGCATCCAGGGCTTCCAGAGCAGAGCGCAGGGAACAGGAAAACAACGATGATGCCTCAGACCTCCTCGCGGCCTGTTCATGCAGGAGAACATCACACCATCAAGGTCGCACTGTTATTTGTTTGCTATTTCCATCCTCTGTAGAAAGAGAAAAAGCAGGCGTCAGAAAGAGGCTGTTTCTCAGGAGATTTCCCGCCACGCGTCCAGAGCAAAGTGGTTTGGACAGCGTTAGATAAGTGTCTGATTGCTTTATGGGCTTGGTGAGGCAAAACTTCCCCCTGCTTTGAAGTGTTCCTGATGCTACTGAAAATTCTCAGTATTTAACGCCCCAGGGCCTTCCCAATGGCAACAGCCTTGATTTGATCATCCCTGGTCTTGTTTCCTAAGGACAAATCTCCGGGGCTGCTTTCAGGCAAGTTTGCTGCGCTTCAGGCCTTTGTAAAGCCTTTCTCCAGCTACAGCTTGGATTGGATTGGATTTTAAAGTGACACCCTACTTACATGCTCATAACATATCGCTGGGGTACAGCATGGCCATCACTAACATTCCGATTATAACGTACCACTCCAGAAGGCAGAGGCATTACAAAATCAGCAAGGAAGTTGGTAGATCTCGACAAAGGCAACCCACAGGGATACAGGAGGGATTTTGGTGCCAGGCTCAAGTGTCCTTAGGTTTTCCAAGGAGCTTGGCTTCACCCCTTGTTCTCTCCGTCATCTCTCAGCTACCCAAGTGCCCCATGTTCCACCTCCTGCTATTAGCTTCCCAGTCAGTCTACCTTCCCAGCTCTTTAGTGGAGGTTTCTATGTTTTGTTGTTGTTGTTTTTTGGGGGGGGAGCCTTTTTACTTCAAATAAGTTATTATCACCCTGGCCTGTGTAGTTCAGTTGCTTGAAGCATCATCCCATGCACTGGAAGGTCATGGGTTTGATTCCCTGTCAGGGCACATACCTAAATTGTGGGTTCCATCCTCGGTTGTGTCACTGGGAAAGCCCCGGTTGGGTTCGGGCTGCCTGTCGCTGTGTCCAATAACGAAGGTAGGGTTGAATCCTATAAGGCTGATCTTGCGGAGGGTAGCCCGGATGCCCTCCTGACGACTATAAGGAGAACATTTAGGATCAAGGTGTGGCCCTTACTAACCATGTCTCCCCACAATTATGGTAAATTCAGAGAGGACGGTGGCTGAATCAACCACTTCCAGGGCCCAGCATGGAGTTAATGCTTACGGCTGGTCTTAGAGACAAATTGATGGATTGATGGCGAAGAGACTACCTTACATTTCCAATTTCTCACTGATAACTGTCATTCTTTACAAAATAGATCCTTTGACATTATAAGAAGCTATATTCAAGTAATTGCTTATGCTGTTCCAATTACTCTGCTTAATTGCTTCTCAAAGTGAATGAAACTCAAGAAGGGAAGAGCTGCAAAGGCTGAGTCTGTTCTCCAGCTGGATCCTCTTCCAAGCAGGTCTGAGTGGCTTCTAGTTTGCTAGAAGCTGAATGATAAACTAGAGGCCCACCTAGTTTCCACTAAGTCCCAAGGGTAATGGAAAAAGGAAGGTGTGTCTGTTCTGAACAACAGATAAACTTTTGGTTGCCCAGTCTCTTGCTAGTAAACCAAATTATAGAACACATTGGGGACCTCCCTTCTCCAGAAAACAAAACAAAACAAAACTTCTGTTCATGTTTTGCCCACCCTCCTATTCTGTTATTTCTTTATGTTCTCCCAAAGCTGGAATCTGGGAGAAAGTAGTTCTCATGAATGTACTCACTCACTTATTATCTATCTATCTATCTATCTATCTATCTATCTATCATCTATCTTTTTAATGTTTAATCAACAAAATGAACTAAGCAGTTTCACTGAGCAGGAGATAGCAGGGGATAGGCATACAAATTAGAAATAGAGTCTGTTGAATTTTTGTGTGTTAACTCCGAGAACTCTTGATCTCAAGATGTACTAAAGAGGAGAGGTGTGTCTAGGAATAATTGCCTTCTTCGAATTTGAAGAAGAGAGCTGAGGCAGACAGAAAACCTCCCAGAAGTCAGCCTTCATGGGTTTGAAATGTAGTTACCTTGAAAGAATATTAAGCAAATAGGTGGTGGTGATGGGGTGGGGTGTCGTTTGGGGGGGGGAGTGGAAAAATAATGTTTTCAAGAAGCATTAGGACAGAGAACAACAATTTGCAGGCTTTTCTGTGCAGTCTGAATAACAACTCCTATTTTCTGTACAAAATGATCAAAGACAAGATTCAGGAGGGAAAAGGCACCACCAGCCCAATCTTCTGCAGGGACTCTGGGCTGGTGATAAAAGATTCTGCAGTTGGAAACAGCTGCAGTGTCAGCCCAGTCCAGTCCCCTCGTCAAAGCAACCACCCAGACGTTCATTAGCAGAAGACAGACGACCCTCTGCTGGTCATGGTCATGCTTTATTAGTGACAGGGGAACTGGACAAGGGGTCACTGGCCAGACCAATGCCCACTGCAGCGTATGAGGTGGTCAGAGAGTGCCTGCAGCCATACACAGGGGTTCGAGGGGAGGGGTAACTTAGGATGGACCTACAACATGAGGGCTTTGGGAGGGTGCATGCCACCCCGGAGCCTCCTGAAACATGAAAGAAAGTGTCATGGAATCCAGGGTTTGGGGGTTGACTCTGATCTCTCCTCTTTCAGAATCAGCTAGCCACTCCCAAAGAACAACTATTTCCTGAGAAAGACAGAACTTCAACTTTGAATGTAAGTTTCACTTTCTGTCGTCTATCATATCAAGGTCACAATGTGCCTACCTCATGAAACTGATTGGCACATGTAGGTGCTCAATAAAGCTTAGGTACTCTTGGTATTAATGTTAGCATACGTATGTAATATTTTCCCCAGGACACTCCCTGTCAGGAAAACAGAACCCACCCTAGATCTTTCAAATAGAGGAATTTAACACAGGGAATTGGTGATGCAATAATGGAAGAGCTGAGAAGCCAAACCCTGGGAAAGTGAGGGAACCTTGAGGTTAGCAACAAGAGGAAACTGCTATCGGTTTTAGTGCTGAAGGAACAAAAGGAGGATAGTTCCGAGGCCAAGGCCATCAAGCTGGACTTAGAAACATGGTGGGGCCTGTCCAACCGGAAGTGAGACAAGGAAGGAAGGCTCTGTCTCTCCAGAGCTGGGATCACAGGACAATAGCAGCCATTGCCTCTCTCTCCTGCTGAGACAGCACCAGGGGTAATGCAAGACAAGAAGTAATACTCTGCTTTCTTCATTCCCCCACCCTCCAGTCTTCTCCAGTGTCTCCCATTAGCTGAATCTACCCAGGAGCAAGTTGGCAAGGGAGCCTGGGAAGTGTAGTTCTGTACCACACAGAGTACCTGTTTAGCAGAAAAAGAGAAGGGAGTGGCTATGCGAGCAAACAAGCGCTCTTGATGAAGGCTGAAGAGTTGACATGCTACACATTCCTGGAAGCTACTAGAGACGGTTATTGACATTATAAGAAGCTATATTAAAGTAATTGCTTATGCTGTTCAAATTATTCTGCTTAATTGCTTCTAAGAGTGAATAGAACTCAAGAACTCAAAAAGGCTGGTCTTCCCAGCCTTTTGCCCTTGGGCTTGCCCTCTGCTGATCATTTCATGCTCATCTTGTTCATTTAAGCCTGCGCTCAGGGCATTTCTTTCCTCTCAGGGGTCAATGGCTGGCAGTAGTTGAAAAAGCTGCCTCTGTGGAGATTTATTCTGTAGCAGGGACCAGGACCCTGAAGTAAGGGACCATGTTCTAAATGGTGACATTTCATGCTTTCAGTGAGGTTTTTTGTTTTTGTTTTCAACACCAGGGTCTTTATTTCTAGAGTCTTGAAATCACCTCATTTTATTGCACTTCGCTTTATTGCACTTAACAGGTGAGCGTTTTTTACAAACTGAAGGCAAACCCTTCACCAGCAAAAAGATTATGACTCACTTTATTGCGCGGCTCGCTTTATGATGGTGGTCTGGAACTGAAACCACAATATCTCCGAGGGGTACGCCTCTACAACACAAGCTCTGTTTGTATATACTGATTGTTTTATTTGTCATCACATTCATGTGAGGTAGATGGACATGGATTGATTTCTTCATTTTTTTCAAAGAAAGCTCAGAGAGTTGGAGAAATGTGTTTAATGTGATATGTCTTTAACTGGTAGAGCTGGGATTCAAATCCAGGTTTCTCTGACTCCTATGCGAGGGGTCTCCCCACTCTGCGTGGTGCCTTTCTCAAGTGAAAAAGAGTGGGTTCAGGACAATGTCATTCATTGGAGTAGTTCATTCTTTCTACTAGTGAAATGCCTCCTTTAGCACATCTTAAATTCCCATATATGCGGGGTCTGATTCTGTAATATTTTATTTTTCCCAATCTATAATAATAAAAGTGTAATTTGCTAATTAGACTGGACGACCTTCCGGATGAAGCCGGGACTGCAAGGGAAGCCCTGGTCCCGGGTGCCTGCCAGCGGCCAGAGGGAAGCCTGAGTCCCAGGTGCTGGAGGGAAGCTGGTGCCAGCAGCCGCGGGAAGGAAGACCTACTCTTGCACAAATTTCATGCATTGGGCCTCTAGTTTAACATATTTATATAAGTCTAGGGGCCCAGTGCATGAATTTGTGCACCTTGAAAGGAACTGTGGGCCATGAGGCTGTGGTGGGCAAAGGGGAGGGTCTCGGCCCATCTGCCACTCCTGCCCAGCCCCTGCTGCCACGCCCCCCAGTACCCTGTCTACCCACAGCCCTGCTCCCGCTGCCGCTGCTCCCACACGCTGATGGCGCTGGCCCGACCCACACTCGCTTATGGTGCAGAGTGATTGGGGCTGGCGTGAGCAGTGTGTGCAAGTGGCAGCTGCCGCCCCCATCACCCCTCAGGAGCAAGGGGAGGTGAAGAAGCTCTCAGGGGTGATCGGGGCCAGCAGCCACCACTCGCACCCGCTAACAGTACCGAGTGATCAGGACTGGCACCAGGTGCCAGCAGCGGGTGCGAGTGGTGGCTCTGGCACCAGCAGCAGGTGCAAACGGGGCAGGTGCTGGCAGCGAGTGCAAGCACCAGGCGGGACTGTGGTGCATGGGAGCAAAGAATTTTCAGTAACCACCAGAGGCTCCCCTCGATGATAGCGACCAGTGCTCCGCCTTGGTCTGGCGCCCCTGCTCACCTGCTCCACCATCCCACCGCAGCCGATGCCTGCCATGTTCTGTGCGTGCCTCCTGGTGGTCAGTGCACATCATAGCGACCAGTTTTTCAGTTGTTCGGTTGTTCTGCCATTCGGTCTATTTTCATATTAGCCTTTTATTATATAGAATATCATGCATGAGTATCATGCCGTTTTAATTATTTTAGCTTTAAAGTGTGCTACAATATAGGGAAAAGAATGTCCCCTCTCCCTTCTTTTCTTTTTCCTTCCTCTTAACATTTTTCTTGGTTCTTCTTGAATATTGCCTTTTCCAGGATAAACTTGGAATCTATTCATCAAATTCCAAAAAGAAATCGATTGGACTTTTTATTAGATTATATTGAATAGCAAATTAATTTGAGGAGAATTGTCACTTTGCAATAGTGAATCTTTCTATGTAACGTCTCTCCATTTATTCAATTCCTTTTTATGTCCTTTGGTAAAGTTTTATGGCTTTATTCAAGCAGGTCTTGCCCATTTCTTGTTAGATTTATTCCTAGATTTAGAGTTTTGGTTGTGGACATGAATAAGGTATTTCCTCCCCTGAGATTTCGTAATTGCTCTTGCTGATGTAGCGAAAGCTCCTGGCTGTTGTATGCCCTTCTTTCCAATCACCTCCCCAAACTCACTTGTTGGTTTTAATGGCTCTGCAGTGCCCTAGCCTGGGTTTTCTAGGGATGGAATCAGATTGTCTTCCTTATCATATGTAAGCAGTTCTTCCTTTCATGCCTTTATTCCCCCACAAGCACTCTATAATTTATTTCATTGCCTTCATATCCCCTCTTGAATTGTAGTTATGTCTGTGTATTTTATTGCCTTTACCAGATTGTCTGAGAGTAGAAATTGTCTTATTTACCCTTATGTCATCTCTCCCCATTCCCCCAAGACCATAGCATATTACTTGGCATAAAGTAGATAGTATATGCACAATAAATGTTTCTGTACTAATTAGTCATGCCTTGTAGTGTAGTGAATGACACAGATTAAATTCAGATTAGATTGTGTGAAAAGAACATTTTGTTTGAACCACCTGGATCCTAAGATGACTTCCTTGTATCCTGAGGAGGCTCTCCTAGTTCAGCCAACGAAATTGGAATCACATTGCCCCGGGGAGGGAGGGCTTCTGTGTACAACAGGGAACAAAGAAGTCAAATTCTTGGCTTTGGAATGAAAAATTCAGGCCCAGACAAAAAGGCAAGCATTGTGGTTCAATGAAGTTTCTTTCTCCTTCCTATTCAGCCCAAACACACACACATGCACACCCCTAAGACAACAAAGATTCTGCAAAGAGGGAAGGGGAGGGACTGTGAAGTTGCACCCAAGTCAGCAGGGAGAACCCAGTGCCTGCAGCTCTGTCTCATTAGCGCCATCAGTGACCCAGGGAAACTATCCATCTCTTTGGGTGTGAACAGAGGACATTGCCCCCCTGAGGAGCCCCGTCTGTTACCCTGGAAGATGAAGTCAGAGAAGACCATCCCACTCCCAGTGCCAGTCAGCAGGTCAGTGATGACGAACTAGCAGGAGTGATGCTCCTCTGGGCCCACAGCTTTGCTAAGTCTCCATCCTACCCACCCCATGCCAGCACTGCTCTGCATGGGCTCAGGCACTCCTACGCCCCAGAGAGGAGAGGGGACCTTGACACCTAAGGGGATAGCCATGACCTAGAAGGAAGAGCCCTTCTCCTCTGCACCCAGCCAGACCTTGGCAAGGGGGCCTAGAGGAAACCCGCTCCACGTCTCCCACCTTTTGGAGACAGAGGGTAAACAAACACAAACATCCGTTTACAATGAATCAGTCTCTCAAGGGAACAAGTTGGCTGAGCCAGCGGGGACTCCTCCCCTGTATCCACCCACCACCCCCCTGGCCTGGCAAGGAGTCTGGTACATCAAGGAAGGTTAGTAGCTGTCTGCTGGGTGAAGGTGTGGAACTCAGCCCAGGGGCTGCTCCAGAGATGCAGCTGGAGGGATGGCTTAGAGCAGCAGGACCAGAGGGGGGCCCTTCCTCTCCTCCTTCTCAGACCATCCACCTGCCTCCCCCGCTCGCTCCTATCAGGTACCAGGCAGGGTGTGAGGCTGTTGACTGTCTGCTGCAAGGGCCTTCGGGGGAGCCGATGCACTAATGGTTCCAGTCTAGCTCAGCCTGGTGGTGGGGAGGTGAGGGGGGGGGACTCTTCAAAGCTGGTTTCCATGGTCCTGTGAGCTCCCTTCCAGTGCACTGCCACGTCCAGGATTCAGAAGCAGAGCGAGGGCAGCCCTGTGCAGTCTGGGGAAGTGAGATGGGCACCATTAAGGTGTTTTAAGCTCACCCACAGCCCCAACTACAGTAGCTGTAGAAAATCAGAGAATGTCTAAACCGGGAGGGCTTCAGAGATGTTTAATCCAACTTCATTTTTATACTGCTGGGGTCCCATGAAGGGTAGTGGCAGGCCTGTGGTCAGACTATTCTATTAATCAAACACACAATTTCTGTATCAGAAGCTGTGTAGACACCAAGTTTAAATGTAAATATTTTTTTAAATTGTTGTTTATTTTATACCTATCCCCAAAGGGCTCTGAGGCAACTTACCCATGAATTAGGGCAGTTAAGACAAAGATTTTTAAAATAGCTCGCTGAAATGACTTAAAAGGAAAGAGAAAATTGCATCAGGAAATCAGAATAAGAGGTCATGATCTCTAAATTTAGCTCACAGCTCATGGCGTGCCTATTGAAAAGGGATACACACTGGTTGTTTAGATTTTTGTCCCTGAAAAAGGCGAGTAGTGCAGAAATAAACATCTGGCGAAGTGATGTGCCATATGGGAGGGGAAAAAGTGCCTTAGAGACAGGCAGAGGTCTAAGACCCAGGCGTGACCTTGGACAAGACATTAGCTTCTGTGAGCGTGAAGTTTCTTATCTTACAATGAAGGCAGTTATGGTAAGCAGGGTGCCCAGTAGGCACTCTCCCCATTCCTGGCTCAGACTCCTAGGAGGAAATGTGTCATGGAGACTTTACATAAGAAGCAGTGGGTAACAGACGAGACTGTGCCATCTGGTTAAATCCGCCTCCTCTCTGGCCTAGTGGCCCAACCATATCTTGGAAGAACACTCCTTCCAAAGGGAAGAAAACACCCCCTAAGCCCTGGAAGTGGGAGCAGAGACTTCTCTGCCTGGGCTGTTTCAGGCCCCGGTGCGGCTGGTGTGGGGCCATTCTGTCTAATTCTGTGTTTGCCGCTTGTATTGAAGCAAAAAGCACTTGAGGCTGTGGAAGGTGCCACCATTCCTTAGACACGTCTGCGCACCTCTGAGGCTGGCCACGTTCCCTGGGCCCTCCCACCGTGTTGTGTGGAAGCCTGCTCCCTCTGACGCCTCCTCTGTGGGGCCGGTGTCCTCACAGGACCCTTCCCTCAAGCCCTGTTTCCTATCAGACCTCGTGGGACAGGAACACGTATTGTAAAATTACTTTGGTCCGTTCACCTCTCATTAAAACGGCCCCCTCCCCACTCCCACCTCAGCAAGGCTGGTGCTCTGTGCTAGGCACCTGAAGAAAAGAAACAGAGAAACAAATTTTCAATAAGGTAACACCAGTCATAATAATAATAATGTCAGCAGCAGAGATTTACTGAATGTTCATGGTGGAGTCTACAAGGATTGTCTCATTTAACCCTCAGGACAACTCAGTTCTATCTCTATTTTACACAGAGTGAAACTGGCGCTCAGAGAAGTTCAACTTGCTCAGGGTCACGCAGCTGATGCATGGTGGGAAGGGAGT